AAAAAAGGGCCACCTTCTACAAAAAGTGTCTTTAAATAGTGTGCCATGCTTATAGTATTCACATACCAAATATGAACAAAATCGCTCTACTACTTTTCGAGTTATAGTTAAATAAGTTAAAATGGCGGTCATTTTCAAAAATGGCTGCCTTCTACCAAAAGTGTCTTTATAGAGTGTGCCATGCTTATAGTATTCACATACCAAAGATGAACAAAATCGGTCCACTACTTTTCGAGTTACAGCAAAAATCGTGAAATAACGAGTAAAGGCCGTTCAATGGGATAACAAATCAAAAGAGTCAGTCAAATAGTAGCTCTTTTTTATTTTCTCTTAAGTTTTCTAGAATTTTATCAAAATGTTTCTCTGCCCCAATACTGTTTTTATTACATTTTCTAGCTAAATGAAATTACAAGACCTTTTATAACATGCTTTTCTCTCAGTTTGAATGCTTATCTTGCCCTCATAAGAAACATATAGATGTACTTTAATCTAAGCCTTATGAAGCCAGGTAAGTATTACATTTGATATTGAGATTGTATTCACCATAAAGAAATACAAGACGAAGGTTTTTAGTCTGAATAACTAGACCAACAAAGGTGGGTGTAGTATTGATGACAATACAATGCTTATCATATTCTATAAAAATCTCTCATTATTTCAATATAAAGCAATGAAGCATCAAGGGCAGACAAGGCCAAAAAGTTAAACTATTGATACATGGCATATCTGCTTTATAGTTCATGTGGTAATTTAAAGACCCCTTTTTGTAAATGAACAGTCCAAAATCAAACAGGAAATTGAAAAAATACGAAAATTATAATAAATTGTGTGGGAATGATTCTCTCAATTGTACAGGCATTTCAAAAATACAAAATCAGGTAGATTTCACGTGGGATAGTATTTTCTTATTTAGGGGTGATTTTTCATTTACAGGATATTGTGTGTGGTTAAAGATTCTAATATTACATCTTAACATGGAACATGTAAATTGAAGCAATAAATCAAGCAAACACCTAATCTATAAGACATTGTAATAATACACATATATTTCTACAGGACTACAGCCTATAATTAATTAGTTTCATTATCTAAGATCAATTCAAAATCTATACATTCAAGTCGGTCCTCAAAATAGCATCTAACATTTGCGTCACCCATTGATGTCACAGGATGTATTTGTACATTTGTTGCATTCTGATTGGTCAAAATTTAAGAAATAATATTTTGGGGGCTTTCCTAATATTCTTGCATCACGTAAGTAGAATAAATCCTGTGTAGTAGGATATTAGGAAATACAGCGTCGATATAGCAATAAAATGTGTCTGTACAAACAATCTAAATGAAAGACCTATATCAATATGAATGGATGGTAAAATTCATTATTCTGACATTTCCGTTATTTTACTTCATAAGACTTAACTTCAGTTACATGTAGCTTAAAACATAACATAACCCACATAGAAAGGTAAGGGCCTATTGTGATAAAAAATTATGGCTATTGTTTACTTTACCTTACATTTTATAAGGTATCCCTACTCAATAGTAAAAAACAAAGTTGTTCATTCATTGTGTTTCAAAGTTTCAAACATTTTAATTATAATTTCCTCATTCCATGTATCTTTTCAGTTGTGGTGTTATTTTCAACTTTTCAAAAAATACACTCACTTAAAATTCTCATTTCCGCGACTTTTTCAGAAATCTAGAATTTTTTTGCAATTTTTGAGATAAATCTGAAATTCAGTGACCAAGTCAGAGAAATGGTTTTCCCTGAGAATGGCAAACTTGCTAAATGCAACCAGGAGGTCTAAGGCAAGTGTAAGACATACAAAAAATTGATTTTAAAATTGATGAAAACATTATTAAACACTACTACTACATGTAAAATCTAAACAAGTCGTACAACAAAGCATAAAGAAGTGACTAAGTGCAAAAACATGTACTTTGCCAACCAGTTCATTAGGAGAATGTTACAAGGAACACAGAGAACACTTATAAAAAGCATTCACTATACAAAGACTTTTTTCCACAACACTCTCTTTGATATTAATTAGAGATCCCATAACACATTTTCAGATTTGATTTATGTCTGGATACTAAGAAAGCATTTCAATACATTTATACAAATATATTTTCTGATCGTAGTGAATCAATATATTTTGACTAACTAGCTACATTAAAATAAGATACATTATTCATTAACCAAAGCTGGCATTTTGTTTTAAATATGTGAGACACCACAAATTTGTTTTAAATTAAATTTTTGCTGTGTCAATTTTTGGAAAATAGAGTAGTTATTTGCAGATTTTGGCACAAGTCTGCTCTTGCATCAGTAAAAATTTCAAACAGGTAACTGGTATAACAGGGATTTTGATGACAAGATTTGATTTATGTGACGCTCGCCAGATTAGCAAAAGTCAGACAATATTTTGATCCCCATTTTAGGGAGGAGGTGAATGGGGGATTGAGAGGCGTTCACACATAGCTAGGTAAGGCGTGTCAAAGTCCAGCTAATCAGAACACAGTATTTCAAATAATGTGGATGAAGGAAATAATTAAATAGCCTTCGGGCTTCGAAGAATACATCTTGCTAGAATCATTGAAAGATGAACATAGTATGAAATATTTGAATATTAGATCAATACACTCAATGGTGATACTGTAGAGAATCCTACCACCTGACAATGTCACAGTAACTAAATTATGCCTACTTTTTATTCCAGAAACATTTACCAATATAGCTGACCTAGTCAGACTTCTTTTTTTAAACTAAATTCTGCCTACTTTTTATTCCAGAAACATTTACCAATACAGCCGACCTAGTCGGACTTCTTTTTTTTAACTAAATTCTGCCTACTTTTTATTCCAGAAACATTTACCAATACAGCCGACCTAGTCTGACCTTCTTTTTTTAAACTAAATTCTGCCTACTTTTTATTCCAGAAACATTTAGCAATATGGCCAACCTAGTCTGACTTCCTCTTTGTGATTATTTCATGTAAATGATAAGTGGAGCATCTAAAATTGACTCTGTGTTTGGGACACTCTATATTACAGTAACATTTAAAGAGCTAATGGCTGTAATATCATTCGAGTATAACTCTTAAATACTGTAACTGTATACATAATGATATGTAACTTACAATCTACATTCACAAAAATCTTCTTTTCTGAAAATATGAATTATGAAACAGGGCACAAGGGGAACAATATTGTACCTAAAATATAGCAATGTGGGCTTGTTGACCCAGAAAGCAAGATGGCAGCTGAAAAATTAATCAGCTCTAGAACTTCTTACCATGTAACATGTAAAAATTTGAAGCAATTCCATTAAAGTGGTTTTCCTGGAATCGCGAGATAAGGAGATCTATGACCAAGTCTATTGTTTGAGAAAGTTACATATGATTATGATTTAAAAATATTTAATTGATATTAATGATAATAACAAGTACAGATATTATATTTAGAGGTTACACTATAATCACTATTACTTGAAAGATGTTTGGCTAATAAAGGCCAACCTTTGGAGGCTCTACAGTTGGGCAAAAAAGAAGGCATATTTCACGTCACATGGACATAACTGATGTATTACATCCCTTTTATTCCACTGGGTACTTTGGATCAAGGACGTCACACATATCTGTGTGTGGGTAGAATCTGATGGAAATGAAACATGACGCCATGATAGCATCAGGGTTATAAAAGAAAAAGGGCAATATTGGTGGATATAGCCCGTTTACTTTCCCATTGCCTTCCATACAAATGCTTCTTTAGGTATGTAATACAATCCCTTTAATATAGCCTACAAGTCTTGTACTGCCTAAGTGATTGTCCCATGAAAATTATGGGAGAATCAACTCTGAGATTCCAACTACTCAAGACCAGATGAATATCATGAACCCAAATGCAAAAGAGGGTGCAACACTCTGTTCAGGTTCAGAATATTTCAATAAAATTCCAAAGCTTCCTTTGCAAATAGCCATTACATCTTATTGAATAAGGATAACCCCTCTAACATAATGATTCTGACATTAAAGGTAATGAATGCTAATATATCATGAGCTTGTTAGTTTAATGCATTGGCCTATATATTACATATGACTTCCTGTAAACTAGATTGAACAGACATGTATCATACAAGGCTGAAAATTAATCTTGAAATCGTGATAGTAGAATGAATTTCCAAGCATGACTTGATGAGTAAAGGTGTGTATAATTTCACCTTTATCACATGCAGTGATCACATAATCACAGAGTGATTCCAATTAAGTTTCTTCTACAATAAGCTTAGATTTCACCTTTCTCCTTATTAAAGCCTAGACATTGCTGTTGCAGACTAGACACTGGAGGGTGTCTTAGTAGGTTCAACCAATAACTTCAGAATGTTTTTAATAACTCATATATTACAGAACTTAAAACTATTTTGAAACTCGGCCAAGAGATTAAGATCCATTTTAAGGGTTAGAAATTAGTGATTATGCTGGTATGTATTACTATTACAGGAGACATATAATACCTGTATAACAATAGTTCTACGAGTACAACTAAATATCTCAACAACACTTGTTGCATACACACACCCATAAAGCCATTCCTATGTGAAAATGCACCTTAAATGCAGCTTAAATAAGTTGACACCACTGAAAATGGATACTGATTGGTTCTTATGTTGTTTGATAATCATAAATGTTCAACATTTACATGATCATTGTACAAGAACTATGTAAACTCTGAATGACTCCAAGAGTGTGACATACATATAACATACAAATCATTGGCATAACCAGGGGGTGCGATGGATGTGATCGCATATTTACCATCTACTCTAAACTTGATTTGCAGATAATAAAAGACAGACATTGGAGACATCAGAATTTGACCATACTTTGATAATAACACTAAATTATAGCAAATTCACGCAAAGGCAGTGATGCAAACCCATAAAGTCGCACCCCCCTTGAAATTTGTTGACTATGCCCCTGCAAATCAAAGTCACCACTTACCTCTCCCAGGTATTCCCCGCCCAAGTTGCGATCATAATTCCAGACGGTTATTTCAAGGATGCGTTGTAACAGCTCGTTATTATTGATGGGTGAGTAGATGAAGGACTGGTGCCACCTGGGGTTAGTGGTCTCAGATATGCCCTTCGTTTTCCTGCGACTCTTCTCGCTGTAAACGAAATCACATTTTTGGTGAATTAACATTTCGAGAAAATAATAATATACACAGGGGCTGCTTTAATTATGTGTGGCTGCTGAACTTGTGAGCTATGGTACCACATGAGGGAAAGAAAATTGAAATAAATTGGATGTTCCCAGTTTTTTGAATATGAATTCAAGTTTCTATATATTTTTAAAGTTATCTAACAACATCTTAAGACACTGCCTCTGATGTTATGAAAACCACCACTTCACAAATTCTTCATGAATCTCTGAAAACATCAAGAGTTCATTCCATTTTCCTCTCCCTCTTGTACTGTGTCAAATATACTCAGCAGTCATGCAATATTAGCAGACACTCTATGATTCACCAGAATTCACAAACTCATAAATGATTTACAATGGAATATTACATTCAGTTTGTCTTAAAGATGGCAGCACTGACAGCTAAGCAATAAAATCCTGCCCATTGTATAGCTGCAATGGTATACTGCATGTATCCAATACTGCTAAGAAGTGATAGAGTAAAAGGAAACAGAGTGACAGATTCACAATTTTTGTATGTTGTCAAATGACTTTACCTTCTGTCTGGTAGCAGATATAGTTTACAGAACAGATTGCTAGGTTGATGCGGGTGTAGGTGTGGAAGATCTTCTGCACGTAATATTGTGACGATAAGCTGGTAGTTTGGTCCATCATAGCATAACTTCACCTGCAGTTTGCCCGCCACATTCGGAGAGTGAGCTCTTGTCTTTCCTGGACCTGGAGATCCTGGTGATGTCACGGTTACGCTTGGCCGATCTGATCTCCCTGATCTAGGATGCTTACGATTTATGTCAAGCTCTAGAAAAAATTATAATTAACGTTGGAGATTAGTTGGCAAAATGCTCAATTCTTTGATTGCAATGCTTGAAAGAGGTCTGCTTTGAGATGAATGATGAAATTCCATTATACAATAGGCAGTTTCATCATCATGCATCAATATCTAAAACACATCACAAATCATCTGACAACACTAAAATCTATAAGAATATATTTTGAGATAAACAAACTTTAATAAAATTGGAAATCATAGAAAACAAGGTTCTGATGAAGTAAAACGAGTTTTAAATTAAGAAAAATGGAGAATCAGGTGTTAACTGAAACTTAATGACACTAAATAAATCCCAGATAAAGTAATACCTCTCACCATTGATTAATAAACAAACACACACACAAACAAGAATATGGATTTACGTAGAAACATGGTACCAAATTACTTATTAGAAAGAAAAATAAATGGGTACTAAGAAAAATAATGGGTGGTCAGCAGACCAGTGGTTAGATAGCCACAAAACATCACACAAGAGTTAACTAAAACACCAGAAACTAACTTAACTAAAGTCCAGAGCAAAGTCCCAAGGAGTCATGCCCAATTAGGCGTACTGTTTTCTTCAAATTAGGCTATTTCTCATAGGCCTGCTCCAGACTGACTAGGGGTTATCAAAGAATGATGTTATTAAATACCGATACTCAAAACAGGAGTTAATGAAACTACAATAAAATGTAGGTATGTGAAGTAAACTTTCCAGTGGCATTTCATTTCATTTATAAGTAATTAAAAAAGAATGGCCCATTTTGTTAAAAAAAGTTATATTTGACTTTTTTGTCAAAATTGTAATTGTAAGTATGCTGTATAATGTTGAAAGTTATGCTACTCATTTTCAAAGTACATTTAATGCCATTTTATTTCAAAGGTAATGGGACTACTTTTATCAGAAAAGTTATCTATAACATCTGAAAATTGGAAATATTCAGAAACTTGGAAAGTTAGTAACATGCTTTTTCATCCAATAATGACGCACTGTAGTAGTTCATGCATGCACATTTGAATTTTGGATTTTCCAGGTACAACAGGCACTGCAATTTGTTTCTGATTTGAAAGAACTGTTTTCTAAAAACATGAACCCAAACGTATATTAGGAATATTGTATTAATAATGAAGCAATTAAATTAATTATTAAAGTTAAACTTGTCTCAGTATTAACTATGCGTTAATATAGCTGTGAATAAGTATGCTGACTAAGTTAGCAATGCATTGGGGGATTCATTCATTGTTACTTATCATACACCATTACTTACTCCATGGGTGGTCACCTAACCCCAACCTAAGTAACATTTAGTGTACAACATATAATAAATTCATTCAGCTACAACATGTACAATATTTATAACAGATGTTAACAATGATGTGATAAGATTGAAATGCAAGTGGACATTTTCTGGCAAATTATTTCTTGAAATCATCCTCATTGATGAAAAATAAGGTACACCATGAGTTTTGTCTGACATTTTCCCAAGAGAATATTCATTTTAAGCAACATCCAAAATAAAACTGGAAAGTGATATTTGTACCTTACAATTATTTGAAAATGTAATATGTGGGAAGATATGCAAAATCTCCCCCTTGGAGTTAAGTCTTATTGAACACAAAATTTAACTGCGTAAATCATGATATAAATATTTCTCCATACACACTGAGCAGCTTTTAAAATTCCACAATTCCTTTTTCATGGAATTTATACTATTATATATATTCTTATTCCATGATGGGATTAACGATACTTTTATTCTAAAAATCACAAAACATACTTTTTTAGTAAATAAAATCCATATTTGAACCCACTTATGAATATATCTTAAATTCTCCCCATATTAAGGTTTCACCCACCTCTGTTGTTATCTGGGTGATCAGTCATACCAGGCTGCAAATCTTTCCTGAAAACATAGGAACTCACATAAATAATCGAACAAACAGGTATTAGTTAACAAAACAATGTTTTAGTCGACCCACTGATTTAGAATACATATAACGTACCCTATATCCCATTGCACCCACTAATAACATAACACCCAGTTAGAATACATATACAAAGTAGTGTGAAACAATTGAAATGCCCCATAACATATCCTATATCCCACTGCATACATTTAGAATACCGTGAAACACTTGCCCCATAACATACCCAATATCTCGTTGTACAATCAGTTCCACCTGTGGCTCCTGTTTGGATTCAAGAATAATGTCGTAGACCTCCTCAAATGATGCACCCTGTAGTGATCTTCCGTTCCATTCAAGAACCTCATCACCTGTAAAACAGTAGCAAGTTGACTTAATAATCTGGGCACATTCTCTCGAAAGCTCATAGATTTTTGCACTAAAGCATATCCTTAAAGACACGGACACTTTCAAGAAAATTCAATTTTCAAAGCTGACAAATAATTTTTTGAACCACATTTCTAGATGTAACTTTACATGCAGACTTCAAATATGATATCACTTTGACTAAATTTTGAATATTTAATGATGTAAATCAAGATTATTTCTACTCCCATCTAGTCTATTAAGAAAGTTAATAGAATTATTTGGTTGCATATTTAGGGCCACATAGACCAACAATAACTTTGTTTATGTATCATCGAGCTGTTTGTCAGAGATTATCAAATATACCTTTTTTACATACCTGGTCTAAGATGTCCAACTGAATCAGCAATGCTTCCCTTTTTAACCTTTGTAATGAAGGCCCCTAGTTGTCCATTCTCTGTGGGCTTTCCACCAATGACCTTCAAGCCTATAATTAGAATTTACACCATTTCTATATAATTGAAGGATCAATGTTAAAGAAACTAGGCCAATATTTCTTGTTGGTTGTTAAATATAAGAACCTGCCTATCACAGTTAACTACTTTTTAAACAAGCCATTAAAATGATAAAATGTCACCAACTAGTTGCATGACAGCAATTTTACCATATGGCACAGAAACCAAAACGGTGGCTTAGTAATGTGCCACAAGTTCTTGTTGGTGATGTAAAAAATTATGAGAAAATATAAATGAGGGGATTAGAAGATGCTTATCACTGTACCTTTTCATAAATCGTGTAACTCTCTAAGTCAAATTACTACAACATTTAGTGTAAAATGTGCTTATTCATTTTCATATGTAAAATAGATTATTAGTAAAAATCCTACTCTAGACCTAGAAAGCAGAATGGTGTGAGCTAAGCATTTTTGAGACTACAATTTTAATTTGTGATATTAAGTGAAATAACTTATTTAATAAAAATGAAATTGTACTTCAGGTGTGTACATATTGTTTATACATTGTAATGTATACAATATATACTTATTGTATACAGTATATACTGCATGTTGTATATGTGACATAAATATTCAAAACCAATATATAAACAACATACATGTAAATAATAACAACAAAAGGTGTCATGCACGAGTCTATCTGTTAAAACACTTTCACTAATAGAAAATCATGACTGGATATAAAGACTCCACAGAAATTGACAGGAAAATCATTTTAAATGATTGAACTGATTAAGATTGTGATAAAGAGGCTAAAGGAAAATGTTTTAACAGAAGCATGGCGATATACGTAGCCAAAATAGTTTTGCTCTAATTTTTGCTATTATATGTGAGTCTTACTTTTTATAATATCATATGCACCTGGTTTTTCATCTACAAAGATCAAAGGGCTTTTTATTAGACATCACTGTAAACAAATAAAGACTTCACAAGCCAAATTAACACTCACTTAAAACTTATATGAAGCTCCATATAAAGATTATCGTAATATAATTGAGAGATGAGGATCATTAATGGATCCCAGTAAGCCAATGGAATCCCCCACGGGTCAGTCCATCCGTCTGTCAGGTCAGAAATTTTCAGACAAAAGAAATATACAATCTATAGATAAAATGCTGGTAATTTATACCATTGGTCCTTGCTCCTTGCCATTTATCAAAATTAAAATTCATGCTCATGTTTTCAGCTATAAATTATGTGCGTGAAAACCAATTATATTTCGATGGTCTTTATGAGCAACTTAGAAGTTAGATGTGAGCTATATGTAAGCTTGTGGAATCTCTCTGATGTTGTTTCACTAATAATCATAATTCCAACAATATCTTGCCTTCTGTGTAGTCTATATATCTGTACTGCATCATATACAATATCATAATATTACAATAAAAGTGCTTTCACAATAGACAAGACAAGAAGATAAAGAATGATAGAATCTTAAACTAAGCGGAACAGAGGCACAATTATCAAACCAGCACATCTCCCAAAGGATAATGCATGACTATGCTACACAAATTTTACATTGAGTTCTTTTGCAAGTATAACCATTGGAGGTGTGACATTATGATAATTAGGACTCTGAGACTACATACACTGTACATCATAAACATTTATATTGTATATATGCAGGATGTAAAAAATTGGAGATATAACTACATATGGTAAAACATGGAGTTCTTCTGTATCTATTACAAAGACATTTATACAGTACAACCATTTCATAAAATTAGAAGTCTGTATTATTTCATCCAAAATCATAAGATCAAATAATTGATATTATGGGCTGCAAAACAGTTTTTATAACATTCCGTAATTCAAAAAATAAAGTTTTAAATCCATTCAAAATCATTTCACAAGGTCTAATAGACCAAAAGAACAGTATATTCTCTTGTCAGCTGTTCTTATTTGTAAATATTTTCAGATAAGATAGTTCAAACTAGTTCACCTCCAAGACAACTCAGCCCCAAGTCCATCATCAAATCAAATGTTTATTTTAAGTGGGAATATCGATTGCCGAGTCGTATCCAATGATCCTGGGCCTATCGTAAAATGAAAGCTTTGAATATGTTGTTGCCTTTAAAAATGTATCTATTTTCCATGTATGCAACTAGAATTTGTGCACATACCTTATAACGATCGATAATGGCAAAGGAAAATCCTCTAATTCTTCGTCATAATTTCTCCTTCGACGTCCGCCATTTTTTATTAAACCGGAAGTTTGTTCTCTGACGTCCGCGCAATGTTTTTTCACTTTTAATTCAGATTACGCTTCGGATTCAACATTTTATACTTTCTAATATTAATTAAGTGTTTTCTATCAGAAAGATTTCACAAAAAGACTCACACTATCAGAGATTTTATCGATTCAAGCAGCCAGAAAAATTAGTTTCAATTTCACCGGCTAGGTGTTTCGATGTCGACTTGGAAAGAATTTGAAAAATCTATGAGTGGGACTCCTTGTATGGAATTGTAGATTCTAAACGATTTGCCAGTTCTACTGGTTGATGAATATTGCCATATGCATACATTTTTATAAAATAGGAATAAGGAAGAAGATGTTGGACCAAACTTCACCCCGATAGCTCAGAAAAGGTAAAATTTCTCCATTTTTCTCTCCACAGACCTTAGAGCCGCTTTAACCTAAAACTATATAACTGCAACACAACTCAGTCCAAGTCCGATATCAAATCAAATGTTAATTTGACCTAAAACTATATAACTGCAACACAACTCAGTCCAAGTCCGATATCAAATTAAATGTTAATTTGACCTAAAACTATATAACTGCAACACAACTCAGTCCAAGCCCGATATCAAATCAAATGTTAATTTGACCTAAAACTATATAACTGCAACATAACTCAGTCCAAGTCCGATATCAAATCAAATGTTTATTTAACCTAAAACTATATAACTGCAACACAACTCAGTCCTAGTCCGATATCAAATCAAATGTTAATTTGACCTAAAACTATATAACTGCAACACAACTCAGTCCAAGTCCGATATCAAATCAAATGTTAATTTGACCTAAAACTATATAACTGCAACACAACTCAGTCCAAGTCCAATATCAAATCAAATGTTAATTTGACCTAAAACTATATAACTGCAACACAACTCAGTCCAAGTCCGATATCAAATCAAATGTTTATTTAACCTAAAACTATATAACTGCAACACAACTCAGTCCAAAGTCCGATATCAAATCAAATGTTTATTTGACCTAAAACTATATAACTGCAACATAACTCAGTCCAAGTCCAATATCAAATCAAATGTTAATTTGACCTAAAATTATATAACTGCAACACAACTCAGTCCAAGTCCAATATCAAATCAAATGTTAATTTGACCTAAAATTATATAACTGCAACACAACTCAGTCCAAGTCCAATATCAAATCAAATGTTACTTTGACCTAATACTATATAACTGCAACACAACTCAGCCCCAAGTCCATCATCAAATCAAATGTTAATTTGATCTGAAACTATATAACTGCAACACAACTCTGTCCAAGTCCATCATCAAATCAAATGTTAATTTGACCTAAAACCTAAATCTATTATCAAATCAAATATTATAAAAAACAAAACTAGTTCAATGCCAAGTTAATACAGTCCCATGTCAACTCAACTACACTCTGTTAAGCATGATAAAAGGCAAGAAGTTTAGTTAGAAATAAAAGAGTTATCTCATGAATTGGACCCTTACATGGCTCCTAAAAGGTAGAAGACACTAAATGGTGTGACACTATAAGCTGAATTTTGTCCACATAGAGCATGTGCACAATACTAAAGACATGTAAAATTGAACTGTCAAAAGAACTGAAATATACTCACCAGCTCGCCTCTTCCGGAAGTTATGATACGTTATGGTGTAACTACGGTGATTAATTTTAAAATATTGAAAAAATCACAAAATACAAGTTCTGAGGTATATATCGCCATTTTTAAGCGAATTAGCCCATACTATGACTATATATTCGCACCCCCATATACAGATATATATAAACTTCATCTTCACAATAAATTGAGCTTCTTTCAAATTTCCATTTTTTGAGATAAGTGCCATTTTCTTACAATTCAAGCCGTAAAAATAGTTGGAAAGTGCTTCCCAGTTGAGGTTAATGGCTTTTATACTTACATTAATGTATGGAGCACTTAAAATGTACTTAGAATCGTATAAATAGCTCTATTCTGTGAGATTTATTTTTGTTTTTATTTTTACATTTTTCTCACCTCATAATTGAAGAGCTCCGCTGTTGATTTACATTCAGTTACACGTATTTCCTTGAAAATTCGCCATGATTGGAACAAATGATGGTTGGTTTATGTTATATTCATTTAGTTTGTATTTGAATCTAGCTACTTAAGGTTCAGCTGGAAAGTAACATTTTGGAAAAAATTGCTATACCTGCACATGTTATTTTCTGGTACATAATTAAGTATGAAGGCATGTGTGTATTTCCTTGCTTTTTTCAGGAAAGTATCATTACACTGTCTACTTTTAGTAAACCTGGAAACAGGTCAATGGTAGCTCCTGTGTTGTCTGGAAACTTTGAAAGAAAATTTGGAAAAACAGGAAGTGTGAAATATCAGAATTCCCTGGAGTTCCCTTTGAACGCCTACCAGATATTCTAAAAGAAGACAATGTAATGATACTTTCCTGAAAAAAGCAAGGAAATTGATACATGCCTTCATACTTTATTTTGTACCAGAAAATAACATGTGCAGGTATAGCAATTTTTTACCAAAATGTTACTTTCCAGCTGTACCTTAAACATAAAACATGTTTTCATGTTATGCTAAAGAGCAAAGATCGCGAATTCTAGGTGAAGCCAATTATTTTGCACAAGTCATATCCTGATTGCATCATAGTTACTTTGTACTAGTCACATCCTGATTGCATCAGCCAATTCACGTGATTTACAGTTTACACATGGTTTCAATATACATGTTATACTACTTCCGGGTAGGGTAGTGTTTTTTATACTTTAAAAACGAAGCCATTTCGATCAGTTTTTATAATCCTTGGTAGAACTGAGAGGTATTACAATACATATTAAAATTAATACACATGAGTGTATTTGATGAACTCTCAAAAAATAAAACCCACAATAATATATTTTTTATTCACAATTTCATGTCATTGTTTCTAACAAGTCGCCTCTTTCTCTCTTTTCTTTATTTTTGTCAACAGTCAAAATCGGAATTTAAAACTTTGTTTCTTTACAAGCTCTGCTTCTGTAAATACTAAATAACATGAAAAATGTTAAACCTTATATCCTACACTTATTTGATATGAAATAGGCGATCATTGATATCATTTTTGTGCTGTTAAGTGTGGATCTTTTAATTTTTTAGTCAAATTTGATCGCTGATCTCTGTCGATGTGATGTCACACATTAAGTATGCACGCATGGGCAGTACAATACATAAGGCAATATGGCGTCTTAGGCCTATACATGAGCCAGAATGGAGGTCTGCAAGTTGAAATGAATATGTTTGTTTATGCATCAATCGATCACACATATAATCCAGCCAATCTTTCAAATCATATACTTAACATTGTAACGGATTTATTTATTTTGTGAGCTAACGTTCCCTTTAATTTTCATTGGTGAAGCAATGATTTTACCTAAAATGAGTCCCTGTCTTTACATAGTGATATTTAAAAATCGAGAAGCAAAACCTATGTTGAATATACTGTGTATTGATGAAGTTTATATATAGCCTAGGGGAACTCAAAAATATTGTTATTATATCGGCAAATTCGCTCGAAAATGGTTGTACACCCTAGAAATTGAATGTTGTTGATTTTTTCAATATTTTAAAATTAATTACCGTAGTTACACCATAACCTATCATAAC